GTCTAATTTCTACATTTATGTCTGCTTTTAAACAAGTTATACTACCTGTTATATTAACAATAGTTAATGAGGACGATAAATAATGAAAGAATATAATATAAATACCCATAAACAATCACAAGATTATAAGGTATAATCAAATACAAAATTTGTAAATACCAAATTTAGTGAAAGTTCGCAAAAACTACAGACAGATCCGTAACACCGGCAATGCTGTAGAGATTGTTCACTGAATGAATCGTTAGCTGGCGGGGGTAGTAGGTTGGTATCCTTCTAGAGTAGGTGAATTTTCGTTGCTTTGATATTAAAAGATAATAATGGAGGTGTTAAATCTTTCAAATCTAGATAATGTTTACAGTGAAATATTCTTACATACTTCATCTCGAAGAATTACGGTTAAATAGTTTGTGAAGGACATCTATTGCTGTAAAGATCACCTTTATCAGAATTGGATTTATTGTAACTACTTCGTTCCTGTTAGTTACGTTTTGGCGACATGTGGCTTACCCAAATGGTCATTACATTTTTATGGACAAATCAGATATGTTCATTGCTGTGCTTATAAAGAACTCTTAACCCTTTTAAGGAACGTTGTAAAACTGAATAACATTAAACAGTGTAGATGTCAACTAATACTTTCAACATGAATATTAGAGTTGAGAAGCCGACCACTAGCATTAACAAACCAAACAAAGTGAAGAAGCCTCCAGGTATTTCAAAGAGTAGTCCAAAAATATTTAGAAACGTGACAGGCAAAATTCCTTCATCCCTATGTGGCCAACAAAAAGAAGAAAGTTTTGTTTTTCTGGAACCTGAAGAAGCTATAATACTTAGACCTACAAGGGAGGAATTTGAGGACCCTCTTGTGTTTATTGCAACAATAAGACCCTATGCAGAAAAGTATGGAATATGTAAAATAGTACCACCCACAGTAAGTTACCCTTTCTGTTTTGAAAAGAAGAAATTTTGGCATATTTGGTGCATGCAATAATAATGTCATATTATTGCTTATTTGCCACATTGATTTTAACCAGGTGTATTGAAGGTCTTTGTGTTCACAACCCCCTTCAGGAATGTGCTGTTAAATTGTCTCCAATCAGTTTTTGGTATTTCTGACATAAGCCTTGGAAGTCCACATTCAGCAAAATTCAATTCCTACATTCAAAATGCCTTCCAGCATTTAGGCACATCGTTGCCAGATGTATGTAGACTTTCCATTTTTCAGTTTTACTCTTTTTTTTATTAGTTAAGACCTACATACAGAATTTATCATATTTGCAAAAGTTCAATATTCTTCCTATTAATTGTTTGATTACTTCATGATCAGTGCTGAAAAGTAAACCGGTTTTATCAACTGTTTCCCTATGAATTTTAAGTACTGATCATAGATACCTAAAACTATTAGTTTTTATTTTAATTTCATTATTTAATCGTACCATATTTTTCAAGAACTAAGATCTCTCTTTACAATGCATCAATTGAGCAAATTTTGAGAATAAAAGTAAACATAAATTAAGTATTCCTATGTGTGTATTCCCATGTTTACCCAATTAACCTGTTGTCAAGTATGTGCTGTCACAATCACTCTGAGAGAATCCTGACTGTAAGTCTCCCTGTGTATCCAAAAATAAATATAAAAATATATTTTTTATTTAAGTAAATAAAGGAAACAAAAATATAAACAGAAATAAAAAAACAAGTTCAAAGAAAAGAAACAATACTAATAATAAATGTTTACAACATATATACAGATATAGTAAATGTAGGTAATACGTAAATTGTACAAATGTTGGCTTTAGTTAAAACAGGAAATATGACAAATGCTCTAGCTCTCAAAGTCAATAATATGAAGAACTCACAAAGTTACTGTCTTATTTCAATTAATGGGAAGCCTCGTGTTATTTGTTCCATTACTGTGAAACTACATATGGGCTTAACACTAATTGTATAGTCCTATGCATACATAAAATGTGTGTATGTCTCATATACATGTTCTGATATTAAGTATTACACAATATGAGGCAAAGATAGGGAAGAATATGAGGCTGGAGGGTTCTAAAAGGGTGTGTTAGTTTGTGAGCTTTCCTGAAAAGTTGCATTTAAATAAAATGCAACATGTAAATAAAAATTTGTTAAAAATTACAACAATTGTGGCTTATTCCGATTTAAATAGTAATTACTTAATTAAAAATGCCACAAGAAAATAGATTGAGAACAATATTACAACTTGAGTTTTTTTACAAAATTCTGCATATATTAACAACCTAGACAAATCCTGGACTAGAATTAGAATGAAAAAATATGTTGATTTTAAGAAGGTGAAATTTTTTTGTAATCAAAATAATTAATTAATTAATGAAGTTGCATGGTCATGGTGGTTCACATAGTGTATTGTATCATTTAAAAAATGATTTCAAAGTCCGGTAGCCACAAAGGGGAGCAGTTTATAAAATATGTGTTCCTGAGTAAAGGACAAAATAAATATAGTCTTATGGAAGCAGGCCAGGGATACCTGGTCCTCTTAAGCTCTACCTATTAGAATCTATGGAAATTATCAAATTAAAAATACAGACATAATTCTAAAAGAGTGACAACAGTTCCCCCTTCCTCAACTTATTTAGTCGAAGACTAATGTGTACACACATACCAAAAATAGATCATTTGAGAAAGGTCTTGTCTTTATTGTAGTTTTCTAAACTTTTAGGCTCATAATTAATTAAACTTTGAGGGTATACAAGGCAACTATCGAACACGGTGATTAATTTAATCTTGCCCAAGTACTTTCGATCAATAGATCATCTTCAGGGGCATTTCGTCAGTTGTGGCCTATCCGACATAGTAGAATGTCATAAATGTAAAATTTGGACATAACAATACAAAATACAATACACTAAGACAAACAAACACTTTAAAATTTATAAGGAGAAGCTACATGTTGTATAGAAGCCGGAGACAGAATCTATACAACATGTAGCTTCTCCTTATAAATTTTAAAGTGTTTGTTTGTCTTAGTGTATTGTATTTTGTATTGTTATGTCCAAATTTTACATTTATGACATTCTACTATGTCAGATAGGCCACAACTGACGAAATGCCCCTGAAGATGATCTATTGATCGAAAGTACTTGGGCAAGATTAAATTAATCACCGTGTTCGATAGTTGCCTTGTATACCCTCAAAGTTTAATTATTCGAACATTCAACCTTATATTGATGGTCATAATTAATTGTTTGATCTAGGTTAATAGCAAATTGACATTATTTTGTTAAAATTACCTTAAATCTATTGAGTGTTATAATTTTTTTGTGTAAGCATCACATTTTCATTGCATTTTCCATTGCTGATATTCTATGTACATGCTTGATATTCCTATTCTCACTTATAGTAATTATCTCTTAAATGAAATATCACATTGTGAATCAAATTAGACAATTTTTGATATTCTGGTATTTAAATGGATATAAAAATATTACATGCAATTAAAATATCATTAAATGTTGCAGGACTGGAGACCATCATTTGCAGTAGATGTAGATAACTTTAAGTTTACTCCTAGAGTTCAACGATTAAATGAACTTGAGGTAAGAGTGGTTTTGTAAATGTTTAAAGAGTTTCTAACTAAATATGCATATTTGTAGGCAAAAACCAGGATAAATTTTAATTTCTTAGATCAAATAGCCAAATTCTGGGATCTACAAGGATCATCCCTTAAACTCCCTATGATCGAAAACAAGCTCTTGGATTTATACACCTTGCATTGCATTGTAAAAAAATGGGGTAAGCAAAGCGAGAATATGTAGTAAAGATGTTCTATGATATATGTTATATTTCTAATTACTTATATATAATTTTTGATACAGATTTATTTTTCTTACTTTAAATTTAAAAGATGATACTTTATTTAGTAATCCTTTTTATTTCTTGTCCAACTACAAGTTGAAAATATTTAGGTTTTTGTATAGATCAGCTTGTATAAACCCAATGGCTTTTCAACCTTTACATTTTATTAGATCTGGGATCATAGTTTTCCAAATGGGATACAATAGGCTAAAAATCGTTTTTATTTAATTAAAAAAAAATTATCTCATTGTTAAATTTTTTCATCTAATTACAGATTTTTTGTTATTATATTTCCCACATTTTTCAAGATGTCCATGTTCCGCCAATCTTCCCTGACTCTATTTTTTTTTATTTTATTCAATCCCTTCCACATGCTTAATATGCAAGGTGAATATGAAAAAATAACTAAAATTCATCAAATTATGTTTTTATCTGATTTTGATTTAAGGTGGATATGAACATGTACTCAAAGAAAAAATGTGGCAGCAAGTTGCTCAACTAATGGGTCTCCCAATGAAAAAAGGTGTTGGAGCTATGTTGAAAATGCATTACGAAAGAGTGCTATATCCATACGATTTGTTTAAATCTGACCAATCCCATGATGTGGTGAGTGAATCTTAATGTTCGTTTTTATTTAATTTTTAATATATTTTTTATTCCGATATATTCTACAGTATGTGCAATATTGTATGCACTGAAGAACACCAGAAACGGAAAAAGTCCGGGGCCAGATCAACTAACTATTGATATCCTTAAAATAATAGAAAATGGATGTGATCTTAAAGCTCTTTATTGAAATTTATCAGTCAGGTTACATACCTAATTAAGGTTGACCGCAAGATTTATCTGTCTCTTAAAAAAAAAAGAAAAATACAAGAGAATGCACCGACCTCCGCACCATAAGCCTGATGTCTCACACACTTAACATGTTTTTAAATTTCATCCATAAACGCATTTACCAAGTACTTGATATGGACATTGAAGAAGCCCAATTTGGATTCTGTAGAGGCGTAGGTAGCCGTGAAGATGTCTTTACATTCAACGTACTAATCGAGAGATGCTTGGATGTGAACCAAGATATGTATGTCTGTTTCATAGATTATAACAAGGCTTTCAATAAAGTTCGTCACAAAGAGCTAGTGGACGTCCTCAAAGCAAAACAATTACAATACAATGACCTTCGAATTATAATAAATCTATATTATAAACTCAGGCACACATACGCATTAATGAACACCCATCAGAAGAGTTCGAAATTAAAAGAGGAGTGCGACAGAGGTGTATATTGTCACTACTACTTTTCAATGCATACTCTGAAGAAATTATGAAAAGAGCTCTTGAGAGAGAAACATCATGAATAAAGGTCAAAGGAACACCAATTAACAACTTTAGATATGTGGACGATAGTATCATAATAGCAGACAACCTCTTTATAGTATACTAAAAAGTATAGGTACCTTTTTAATTGTATATTTTATATATGCGTACCTCGGAGGTAAAGGACACTATGTCCATTTTTATCGAAATTTAGATTATTGCATTTTTGAATATAACTTTTCTGGCTCTACACATAGATAAACCATACTATGTCCAGAGACAATTTTACGGCAAGTTACCGACTTTTTAATAAACACCAAGTCCACTTCCAGTCAGAGGTAAACAACACCATGTGGACTTGGTGTTGTTTATGTCTAGTTAATGTGTGCATTGGCATTTACCATCCGGACATAGTGTTATGTACCCTTGTACCTGGCGGAATTATCATGATCTAAAATCATTGCAACCTTTTTATTTAGATCGCAATTGTGTTAGGTTGATAAAAGTTGTACAATAAGTTCGTTGTTTAATAATTGTAAAATGGATCCGAACTCTCGTGGAAAAATAATATTACAATTACTGTCATGTAATATTTCAAATAAAACAACACTTACAGGTAAGCTATTGTTTTTTAACACTAATTTTGTATTTTTCTAACCTCAAATATTTAGTATTGTATATTATTTTGTATAGGGCTCAGAATTTCAAACTGTACATACATTTTTTCTATCTACCGTTAAAATAGAAGTATCAGTTAGTATGTTCTTGTTACTAATAAAGAATTTCGTCTGTTTTTTTTTAAATGACCATGATACGGTATGATTGTTGTCAGTTATTTATGTAACATGCATTGCCATTTATATTATTGTGTTGTAGGCATAGACAGGAATTTACCAAGCAATTATCAATATATACTCGTATGAACTAAATACTACAAGAGATTGGGTAAAATTTATTTACCGTTAGGCGTAACCGGTACCCCAAAAATTATTGTTGTTGTTGATACCAACAGATTAGGGTAAAAAGATGTTGCCAGATCTATATTTTTTTAATGGAAGTAACGGAAATTGCTCAGTAAATTCCGGTCTTTGGTTATAAGGATTATTTTTGTGTTGGCCAATTATAGGCCTATAAAATTAGTCTATAGTTATTATTACAAGGCTGGATTTGTTTCAGAACCACCTGGTCATTACAGTAACTTCCACGGTAATGGTAAGGAAGTGTACGAAGATGATAATTTGTTTGGAGATGATAATTCGGATATTGATATAACGTATGAGCCTCTAAACTCAGAATAAGACGACAATGATATGATACGTATAAGTAAACCAGCGAAAACAAAGATAAAAGAGAAAGTTAGTAGTACTCCTACGACTAGTGTGGCAATAACAAAAAATCTTCTTACGGACGATTTATTCCTAAGCAGTGATGCAGGCAATTCCAATGAACATAATGAAGTTATTTAAGAAGAAGAGAGAAGTGTTAAAAGAAAGGTACAAAATGTAACTAAGTACAAACAAAAAGACAAAAAACGTGTAGTAAATGAACAAAATTGGATCTGTAAAATCAAAAATAGCTGGTGGGAAAGAGTATCTCAGTAAAAAAGGCAAAAACATGCCTGCAAAAATGTTAAAGCTTCCTTGCATGTGTCGCATAATATGCTCTAAAAGATTGCCAGAATACGAAAGACAAAAAATTTTCAACTCATACTACCAAATCAATTCTACCAAATCTAAAAATAATACACTACACTACCTTTTTACAGTGAACAATCAGCGATTGAGGGTGTGCAAGGTTATTTTTTCAAACACACTTTGTATATCTACTTTAGTAGAGGTAAATATGTTGAAAAAATTGAGCCAGGAAATTTAATAAAAGCTGATCAAAGAGGTAGACACACGCTCATCAATAAAACTCCTACCGAAACCATAAATAGAATACATCAACATATTAAATCATTCCCAAAGTGCGAGATTTATTATTCCAGAGAAAGGAGTAAGAGAGATTACCTTGGCACAGAACTTACGATAGAAAAGTTGTATCAACTGTACTTTGATGAATGCAATGAAATACATGTAGATCCAAAGCTCGTAATTCGACGCAGATATTTTTAATAAAGTTTTCCAAGTTTTCGTTTGAAAACTTGGAAACCCGAAATAGACACTTACGATACATGCAGTACATTCATAGCTCAATTGAAAAATAATCTTACTGCAGATGAACTAACCAGTGTACAGGTTAATCATGATACTCCCCTAATTGAATTTAAAACTCGGTATAATTTACAACAATTGGACTTTTTAATGGGTAAAGAGTCATCACAACACAAAGTACTATCTGGTGATTTGTAAAAATGTTTGCTTTCACAATTGTATTAGTTTCTACAAAAGGAAGCTTTTGTAGAAGCAGTGATTCTTCTGTACAATGTATGATGTGGGACGAATCGAAAGGGTTCCGAGGTGCAAATGAAATTGCCTCGTGAATTTTGAAATGGACTGACAATACAATTCTATGTAGTCAAGTAAAGGACATCACTCTTTGGACCGATAACTGCTATGAACAAAATAAAAATATAAGTGTTATAATGTGCTATTTTTGGATACTGCGTACATACCCTCAAATAAAGACGATCACTCAAAAGTTTTTACTGAAAGGGCACACACATATGGAAGCAGACAGTGTTTATGCTTTAATCGAGAGAAACAAAAAGAAACTCTCCAATTTGGCCATTTTAACGCCATAGAACTGGCAGCAGCTAGTTAGGCAAACATCAGGTAAATACACAGTGCACAATTTGGAACTTGCAGATTTTAAAAACTTCAAAACGCTGTTCGATAAGAAATTGTCACTTAATCATCCTTTTGTAAGTAGAAAAAAGAATGTTAATGAAGATCCTGTTTTACTGTCAACATGTGTTGACTCCTACAACTCCAACAAGAACACATTGGGAAGCTCTTTTATAAGACCGATTTCAATAATCAAAATATGTATGACGTGCACTTCATGAGGTATCGAAGACAGCAATTAACGTTTCCAGCTCAATTAAATCAAGTCTCAGTAAACCCATTACCAGTCAGAAAACAAAAGTTTAATGACTTCATTACCTTACTGCCTTTTTCCGTCAGTTTGTCATGCACTTTATCAAAATTTAACACAGCGATGTAGCCACAAACGATTACCCACAAGAAGATGAAGATGATATGGAGCCTCTTTAACACTTTTGAAACTTGTCTAGAATTTTACTTTATTTAACTTTTCTTAATTTAATTATTATAAAATTATAATATTTATCTCTAATAAAATAATAGTATAGGCTGTTTAGTGTATTTCTATTGTTTATTTCGTAGAGACCTTAACATGTAATGCCACATTATTTAAAAAAGTAATTAGAGGTAAACAACACTATGTCTAACTACACATTTAAAAAAATATATAAAATGAACGGTAAACTTCTGGTACATAACACTTCATGGAAGGAATAACGATTATACACACCACAATAATAATATATTAATCTTGGTTAAATATAAGAAATATTTGAGTATTTATTGATTAAAAATTTAAAAAATGTTAAAACTGCTCTCCTGAAAAAGTAAGAAAATGGACATAGTGTCCTTTACCTCCGAGGTACGGATATATTATCACTTCACTTCAGATCCGGTTAGAAGGACCAATATAAAAAATAAGGCAGAAATCGGTTTCTGCAGCTATACAATTTTAGAGATGATTTTTGGTACCAGTGTTACCTTATTTATAAATGTTTTTTATATTTCGTTTGTAAACTATTACAAAATACTCTTTTTTAGAAATTAGACGGAAGCCCCTCATCAGACTTAAAATTTGAAGGTAATAGTGTAGATAAAAAAGACTATAAGCCACATAGTATTGCTAGCCGAATGCAGATTAAACCATCCCCTGAAGTAAACCCCAGGAGAACAAATAGATTCGACATAGATGAAGTAAGTATGTAAATAGAATATTTACTAATAGGCTATTGATTATGTACTTTATAAAGGAACTACATTAGAGGGATTTTATTGTTTTATATGGTCAATGGAATTCCAAATATGAAAAAATTGCGGGCTGCTACCATTTGAAGGGGTGCGTTTTTGAGAAAGGGGTGAATTAGTCCCTAAGCACTTGGGTGCATTAGGGTGAATCATAGCACTTTTCTTACATATACATCTACAGAAAAGATGATATCTGATGGCAGTCAATATCCTAAAAATTCTTTCTTATTTCATGATGTCCACGAGATCTAATAGTAGTATTTCTTCTTAGGAATCTTCCATTTTCTTTCACTTATCTTTTTTTATTTCTTCTTTTTATCCTTAAAATTGACTGGTTTTGGTATAGACAAATTCATTGCTAAAAGCAATCTTGTTTTTAAGGCCCTATCTGTTTATAGTTCTGTAGAAGATTTATCTGTTTCCATACCAAGTAGAGCTAATTCTAGATTCTGTTATTTTTGTAAAATGTTACAGTGGAACTTGGATATTACAGTCTCGCTAGTTAGATTACTTGAGTTGTAACGTCAATTTTTAATAGGTCCGGCCAAAAACTATTCAATAACATTATTAAAAACCCGGTTTTATCGGCTAAAGATAACGTAAGCCTCGTTTATAGCGTCATAAAATTTTACAGTATGTTGTCGGTTTTTTATTTTATGAAGAATAAAGTGCTTTGTGTCCAGCTTGATGGACACAGAGGACATTTGTCCGATGATCCCTTCTGTATAGTTATATTACCTTGACAGTTTGAGGCTTTGCCTATTAAGCACGTATGTACAGAGTTCGGAAAACTGTTTGGTGAAGATTTCACATGCTCTAACGGCTGGCTAGATCGGTTTAAAGCCCGGCACTCAATTTCCTTCGCGAAAATTGTTAGAGAGACAAAATGTGTGGACGAGAACGTGACAGGTGATTGGTTACAAAACATATGGCCACAACTAAGGATGAAGATATCTTCAATGGCGATAAAACTGGTGTCTTTTACAAATTAACGCCAGACAAAATTTAAAATTTTAAAAATCAAATATGTGTCGGTGGAAAGCTTTGAAAACAAAGAGTTATGGCTTTTGTTTGTACAAACATGACAGGTACAGAGAAAAGAACGCTTTTGGTTATTGGGAAAAGTTTACATCCTAGATGTTTCAAAAAATACTGCCTGTACACTACACAGTAAACAAACAAGCATGGATGACTTCTGCTATTTTTGAAGAAGAATTGAGAAAGTGGGATAAGGAACTCTCTGCAAAAAAAAAGAAAATTTCTTGTCAGCCAACTGCACGAGTGTCTTGCAGCCTATGGACCAAGAAGTTATAAGAAGTTTAAAGTGCCATTATCGAAAACAGCTTTTGAGGATGATTTTTTGTATGGCCAATGGGGAACCCGTGAACATTACCCTCCTTGACGCAGTTCAGTTTTTAGACAATGCAGTAGCAAGTAGCAATTTGTAAATGCTTTCGTCAAGCTAAAGTAACTGTAGTTTCTCCCTACGTTCAGGATGTTGACGAGGATGACGAAATGCCTTTGTTAGAGTGGATACAAAAATTTAATCTAAACCAGAGAGAGTTTGGAATTGGTCTTGACTCCTACATTTCAGTAGACGATCAGGTAGAAACGTTTTAAGTAATAAAAAATTTGTGGAAAAAGTGTAAAATGTGGAAATGGACGTTGATGAAGATAATGAAGAAGAAAACAGCGTTGATTGTCCTACAACCCAAGAATCAATGAGAGCTGCTGAGATCATATCTAGGTTTTACCAGTTCAGGGAGGCATCCACAACTGCCAAAAAAGCGGCTCAGATTATTAAGGACACTACAGAAAAGCTTTAGCATTATAAAGCTTTTTCATAAAAAATGTTTCATATGCATGATTTTTTTCTTAATATTTCTTATTTTTTTATCTTAAATGCAGCTTTAATAATAAACAATGCTATAATAAAATTTTACCTCGTTAAAATTTCACTTTTTTATACCTCTTTGATAAGGTCACTCTGATATAGCGTCATTTTTTTACTTTGTCCTTCAATGGTGCTATAACCAAGGTCCACTGTATTTGTTATAATGGGGACTGGATATTACAAACTTGAAAATCTTGACATTCTTTATAATCATATGGCATCTTATGAGCATAATACTTCTATGGGTATACCATGCTTAGAGCAAATTGTTTTCATTGCTAAAATTTTGTCTTATGAAGTTTTTCTTTGCAATTTGGCAACTTATACGATAGGAACGCCTACCAAATTCTAAAATATCAACAAATTGTAAATTTGAAAATTCTGGTAATATCATTGGTAAGCTTATAAGACAAGTCGTTTATAATATTTATCGAAACCATGGACGTATAAACACAGATGGACTCAGTTATTTACATAAAATTGTGAAGTCAAAATTATTTGAATAGGTCACATTCTGAACATTGGTTATATTAATATATTTAATTGTAATCAAAATATCAAGTGTGCACATAGTGTGCATTATCATTTAATAATAGCGTATAATAGATATCAATCAATTATTTTATATGTAGAAGCACTGAAAACGATTTATAAATGGCAACGGTTGTTTACATTTCTCTGTCTTATGGATCTACGTCAAACTTCAAATGCTGTTCCATGTTTGTTTACTTTTTACAGTAAATGAGGAAAAAGATATTTTTCGATGTTTTGGCTGTATTTTAAGTGATATTTGTGAAAAGTGAAATAAAATAAACGAAATACTTACATCCCGATCTCCCATTTCATTTGTAAGTACATACAATTTACATTATTTAAGATGAAGAAATGAGGAAGCGTGTTTGTTTACATTTTAATAGGCGTACCATTGGGTTTATTCATTTTCATTAATGTATTGAATAAGATATGAGTTCATGAAATTAGTAGACATTTATAAATTGTAAGTAGACATCATCTGATTAAAAAAGATCTGTTTAGTACCTTTTTAATTGAATATTTCTCATGGATACAAATAAATTAGTGAAATGAATAAAACTCATTTATTTTTCTATGTAGGTTTCCAAATAATATTGACGATCGAACTATTTGGGTAGCAAATTAAGGAGAAAACATAAAGATTTTTCATTGTAGCGTTATTTTAATATTATTAAAAAATTAACTTGAATTCAACTATATTTAATTGTATTAATTTTAAAGCAAATAAAATTGAATTTTAATTTTTCTATAAAGACGTGATTTGTTAATAGTTAAACTCTCGTTTTTTTTTTTAATTTTTGAACGTGTTTTTAGACATTATTACTACTTCCAATTTTTAAAATCCGAATAATTACCCGCGAGTAAAAATTCAAGCACGCTTATGCTCATTGCGGAAGCATCACATTCTATCGAAGCTTCAAAACATTGTGTGTTAAAGGTATCTTATTTCTGTGTCCATCTATGTTTATACGTCCATGATCGAAACCTTGCTAAATCTTGCTAAATTGTTTTATCTCGGCATTACAGCTATCAAGTTACACTTGTGGGAACTGTCGTCGTGGTGATGATGAGGAGTGCATGCTACTATGCGACGGTTGTGACGATAGCTACCATACCTATTGTTTAATACCGCCTCTCGTGGAAATACCAGAAGGAGACTGGAGGTGTCCCAAATGTGTGGCCGAAGAAGTCTCAAAGCCTATGGAAGCATTCGGATTCGAGCAGGCCAAGAGAGAATACACGCTTCAAAAGTTTGGGGAAATGGCCGATCAATTTAAGTCTGAGTATTTTAATATGCCTGTACATGTAAGTATTTTGGTTTTTAAATTGACTCTGAACTATGCCTATTTATCGAGGACAAAGCTAACAAATTACGGTTTTAGACTGGTCGTATGAGAGACTGTCGTGTGACAAATACAGGGTGATCGACTTATGTGAAAAAGTTCGTTTTATTTGTTATAGATACCAAAAAAATTATTTACAAAATAGGAGGTTAAGTGAGGAACAAGATTTATGGGGAATTTTAAAAACTGACCTACTGGTAATCCGATATTGATACCTATTGTAATACAGACCCCCATAGAGACATTTACAGCTTTGTAAAGATTATTCATCATGTCGTGGACCTGACGTAATCATTTAGTGATGTTGATCTACGAACGAAACAATGATATCAGGCATTGCTAAAAACATGCAGTTCCTCTTTAGTGCGTTATCGTAGCAAGACAAAGACGAATTAGTTTTTGCGTTAGTGAAATAGCTTTAATCTTTTTGTGAATAATCGTTTTTAATATTCTATAATTTTTTGGACCATTCTGAATAGAAAAAGGTTAATTGTAATTTTTCTCTAAAGTTAATCGTTTTCAATTTAAACAATTTAAAACTGAAAGAAAAAAACGAAAATGATGATTGAAGGCTCAAAAACACAATTATTTTTGAATTTACCAAACCTCAATATCAGTTTCTGATACTTTAGTTTGGGCTTATTTAATTTAAAAACATTGTTTTTTGTCGTTTGAAGCCCTTATCACAACCTAAAAATGGATTTATAGAAAACTGTTAAATAAATTAAAACCACTTTTTTATAAGCGACCTCTTGAACATTATTCTGCGGTATTTTATGAAAGTGATTAAGGCCGGCCATTGGTAATGTTATAAGTATAGGCGATCCCATCACCTTTATAAAGTACACCACTCATAATCTAGAGCATATATGTATACCGAAAAATGCTTAACCTACTAACAATATATCTCGCTAATGACAGCCATATTTTTGCTATCCTACCTGTTGTATATTGTTTATAAAAAAATGTGAAAGTTTTGCTTTTTTCTCAATAAATATAAGAGCGTTTATATCTAAATTACTCAAGTGTTTAAACGAATTTGATGATAAAATTCCGTCTAGAACTAGAATATATATAATGGAAGGATGTAACGTTAAAAAAATGTGAATTAATAAAGTACTTTTTACGTGGTGTACTTTTAAAATAAATTTCTGCAATTAATAGAAATTGACATGTGAAACGTAAATATTGGACATATAATACGAAAAAAGTATAGGAATCTGTAAGAATCTAAGCTCTGTTAATGTAGCCATTATGTATGAGATGGCGCTACAAAAAAATTACATAAATATGAAAAATTCGGAAGCGTAATGTATTTATTAGTGTAACTAACTCCAAGTCAGTCAAATTCGGGACAAGGCTGAAAAAAATACCTAAAATCCGGGACTTTCCAATGAAAATCGGGTCATTTTTTTAATATGGAACTTTATCATTTATCAATAAAATATCATTTTATTGATTACATATTTAACATTTTATGTTGATAAATTTTTTTTTGATGGAATGGGTTGTAGTGATAAATTATATTTTTGTTAGTTTTTGACGTTTCGACTTCCAATCCGGAAATCGTTCTCAAAAAGGGAAAAATTAGAAAATTAACTGATATTGGATTTCCATGGGAATAGAACATTAGGTTAATATAAAAATATAATTATCATTATTTGATATTCATGTTTTTGAATCGTCTTTTCAGAAGACACTAATTAAAATACAGAAACGGGAAAGTCCACAGTTTGAGTTTTCGTAGAACTATAATAATATAATATAAAATGCATGCATTTTGGATGTGGTATTAGTATTACACTCTAGAAATTGTCGACTTTTTTTCGTCCCGCCAATTCAATTTGATGTGAATTCTCAGAAGAATAACGTATTCAAAATATCAAAATATAATTTTACCAAAATGTTGAAAATTCGGATGGCCCGGAAGCCTTGTCCGGGACACCGGGACACGACTTCGTAATTCGGGCCATGTCCCGGATTTTTCGGGCTAGTTGGTCACACTAAATATATTGCTAATATTAATTATTATTATATTATTAATTACTAATAATAATATATTACGTTTATTACTCTCGCTTGCAAACGGTTGAAGTGTAGAGTCGATTTATTAAAATATGAGGACACTGCTCGCAAGAAGAAATGCATAGCGAGCGGTGCCCTCACCTAATATTTCGACTTTAACAGGTAATGGATGTCTTCCAAAAAGCCGATGAACTAGTTCGGAACGCCTCTTAGTTTGCGCAATATTAAAATAGAGGTACCAAAATTTATCTGCGCCAACTTATTCCCGTTTTGAACTAGTTTACGGCTTGTTGAATTATATTCAATAACTCTACGATTTAATGAGTGAAATTAATAAAATTAAGTAAAAGCTCAGACTCTAAATATTTGGAGTACCTATTTGTTCTGTACCACCCAATGGGTTAATACGATTTTTAGCGAAGACTCCAAAAATTTTGAGTCTGAGCTTTTACTTCACTTTATTAATATCGATCACTAATTGGCACATGAAGGGGAGAAGAATCATTTAAAGTTTTTATTTTAAATCAATTTCTTTATTAAATGTCTTGATGAACAGTCTTCAAATTTTTCTTACTATTGCATTTTTTCTTTACTTTTTCCCTTGCTTCCAAAACCGTCGGAGGATCGCGGCATTTCAATTTTTTTAGTCTGCGACCTAAAATGATTTCTGGCCCGAGACACTCTTTATAAAAGGTTATTAATTTTGGGAGCATTTTATTTTTCCATAACCTATCATCTCTTGTGATTGTTAAACGAAATATTTCATGATGCCTTCCCGTATATACGATGAAGTGGCATGTGCTTGCTTTAGTTATGGCAAGTTGACCCATAACCTAAAAATGAATAAAATATGTATATATATATATAATATATATATATATATATATATATAAATATATATATATATATATATATATATATATATAATATATATATATATATATATATATATATATATATATATATATATATTCTGGCTACCTACGACGTATACATGTATGTGTAATAACAACACATACCTGGTAATAGTAATCATGGTTTTCATTAATTGAAATAATTCCGTCTTTTATATGCAGATAAGGAACTGCCTTTTCTTGCACAGCTTCCATTAACGTCTTACCAGACTGTGCCACTTTAAGTGAACATTTTACTTCTACGGTTTCATCTTGATTGATTAAACCTAAAAAGTGAAAAAATTTAATTGAAGAATTGAGTTCTATGACAAAACATTTTAAATATAATATCTGTACATTTTAAACTACAAGATTCAATTACTATTTATAAATATAACAAAAATTACCATCTGGAGAAGCTGCCAAAAAACCAGTTTCCAAATCTACAAAAAGACCAGAAGGACTAACAGTGATTTCTCGTCCATTTTTTTTCATTTCTTCCTCAAATATGCTAATGGCTATAGCTTCATTCTTTTTCCCATAAGCCATAGCAGGTGATACAAAACTATTTGAAGTATTTAAAATCTTTTTTACCAAATTATGGCATGACGTTGTGTTTTTTCTTTTAATAACAGCTCCAAAGTTTGAAGCCGTAAGTCGTTTAAATCTTTGGCTTATATAAACCGAATTCTCAAATTGGCCAATGGTTTCATTAGCTATGGAAAGTTGTTCTTCTGGGGTTACCTGAAGTTATCAAGAGATTAATAATTATCAATAATAATAATAATAATAATAATAGCAATGATAATACAATTTCAATATTAACAAGCGATTTAATATTACCTGCAATCCTGCACAAAGTACATCTATTTCCTTCTGCAATTCAATATCGGAGAGATAAACTTCGGATATATTAGGACCATAATCTAAATTTTCTTTTTCAGCTTTATTGTCAAACTTAAGCTTCTTTGCAGGCCTAATATTTCCTTCCTCCCGTAACTTTCTTTTTTCTTTAATATTTTCTTGTGTTTCCATTAAACGTTTTAGACTGCTACCTGGACTTCTTTGAAACGCTTCTCTCCACGGTTTTTCATGCCATCTATGTCCTTTATTATACTTTAATCCTGTTAATTGAGCCCTAATTTGGAATGAATCCCTTTGGATTAAGTTTAGCCTTTTGCCCATATTAAACCTTACCAATATGCTCATAAACAGTTCAGCTCTGTTATTAGTTTCTTTGTCCAAGAGCAATTTGGCTTTGGTCAACAATTGGTTCATGGCTCCATGTATATGATGTTGAAGCCCTGTAGTAGCAACATCCTTTGTTTTGTCTTGAGAACAATCTCCAACATTTTCGCAAAGATATTCTTTACAGGAAAGATGATTTCCAAAAACGTGGTTGTAGGTGTTTCTGATATCTTCTCGAAGAGATTCTGAATTTTGAACGTTTGCGTAAATAGCCAACTGGACTGTTTTTACTAGTTCATTTAGTATTTCCTTACTCAAAATTTTTCTAGCCGCCAAAGGTACGAGTTTGGTGTCATTTCTAATTTTATGCAGATTTTTTCCATAGTTTTTCAATACATGGTTCATGCATTCAACTTTCTGTACCTACAACGATATTACCTAAAATTAATTACTTAATACACCAGGTATGTAATAAAATTTTCAATATTAATAATTTTTAAAATACTTTTTTGTTTAGCATTAAATAATATAGATCGATTTTTTAGTGGTTATGGATATCAGAAATGCATTACAAAAAGTAGAATAAAGCACACCACTTGTAGGATTACAGAAAAATCCATTAATAATAAATTAATAATAATATTTACCTCCAAACCATAAGGAACTTTTTCTTTAATTTTTGTAAAAACTGATGAGTCACCGTCGGCAATAAATTTTCTGTATGTTAAGTTGTGCATTTCAATACTTGATTTGAAACCCTCGATTATAATGTCTTGCTCCATTGAGGAAGAAGATCCACTCCAATTTTTGAAACATGTGTGATGTCTTGCTGCTTGTCCCTTATTATTGGCTCTTG